AACCGAAAATAAAGGGGTATAAAACTCACCTTTGCTTGTTGTTTTCGATTTGAAGAAGAAAAGAGAAGAGTTTGTTGTTATTTTCGGTCCTAGCAACCTTTCTTGGAAAATCTCAAACTTAAAGACCGTCTAAGGTGCAAGATCACAAGATTGAATGGATTTAGAAGAGATTTTTGATGAAATGAAGTGAGTTAGATCATAGATTTAACATCAACTTACCTTGAATGATGATTTACTTGATGAAAATCCTTAGACTTCAAGCCAAATTTTCGAGATTTTGGATGAAGGAGAGTGGATGATTCTTGAGTGGTTTAGAGGGAATTTTGTTGTGAGTGTTTGTGTGTTTCTCTTTCTCTCGGCCGAAGAAAAGAGAGGGAGAGGAAGATAGGGGATTGATGAGATGTTTACTTGGGTGTATGGGATTTGCATGGAGAACCATTAAACAAAAATGAGGTGGTAATGAAAAAAGTCAACTCTTCTTCTTTGGTTGGGCTTGGGCCGAGAATGGAGAGAGAAGATAGCATTTTTGGGCCTTAAATGCTTAAGCCCAATTTCATGGTTATGTTGAGTGATTTTTGGTCCAAATAAATATAAATGTGATTTTTTATGACCTATTAGGGCTAAATTAGGTTAGTTATGGCCCAATAAGGTCCATTTAAATATTTTATTTCATTCTAGGCCCAATATGGCCCACAATATTAAAATAAATGAAAGTGGGTCCAATTAGAGTCCATTCAAGAGTTTTAAGCCCAAGATAGTCCAATTGGAAACTTATTGGTCCATTGGGCCCAATAAGGAAATCCTAGTCCAAAATGGACTTAAACAAGGATTTCTAGGGTTTCCAATTATTTGTTGACTATTTGTAGTGCTTGTATGAAGTGTTTGATTGAAATTCTATTGTTATTGACTAAGCATCTTACATGTGTTCACATTGTTGGTTCATATTTGTTATCATTGTTCAATGTTTACAAGGCATCAATTTCCTAGTTGTGACAAGTTGGGCCGCCAACTCGTCGAGTCCCTAACACCTTTTCTAATCCTCTACTTGCTTCAACTCATTGAGCTTGGCAACAACTCGACGAGTTCTTCTTCCGAATTAACGTCGAATCTAACTTCATCCGACTCGCCGAGTTGTATGAACAACTCGTTGAGTTCTCATTCATCATATGAACACATCTAGAATGTGACTCGCCGAGGTTTATGAACAACTCGTCGAGTCTGTTCTTGAGGTATTCAGATTGCCTTGGACTTGCCGAGTCTCCTGCATGCCACTACTATACAGTCGCTTCTAGTCGGTCTCAGTGCGTCCAATTCATAGATATAGGCTTCTAAGGTTGGTTTTGCACGTAAAGTTTCCAACTTTACGTGCATGCACACGAGAATGGGGCTAAAACACCAAAATCATCCCACACTAAGCACTTAGGGTTTGGAACAAGGCTATATTTACATAAAGGTAGCTATATTGAGTTTCTAAAGCTCAATAACATCTAGATCTATGGTCTTCATCCCAAGGAGAGCTCAAATCTCGAGTTTGAATCACATAAGGCTCCAAAAGAGACTTAAACAGGCACAAAGGAGGGTTTAATGGAAGAATAAGCAAGGTAATAACTTTATTACCTGAATATGAAGCAGATGGAAGCTAGTTCTTGGATCTCCTTCCTCTTCTATTGATCCTCTTTCCTTCTTTCTCTTCTACAACTCCCAAGCTATCACAAAACACTCAAGATTAACAATAGGGACTAGGGTTTTACATAGAAATGCTCTAAAGGTGCTGGGGTGGGAGGCTATAATGACATTTAAATAGAGTGCAAACCCTGGGATATAGGGTTTCATCCAGACTAGCGGGCTCGCCGAGTCCAGGATACAAACTCGTTGAGTCGCCTACTAAAGATGCGTGCAAATCCTGCCTCTACTCGACAAGTTGGGCTACAGACTCGTCATGTAAAGATCGAAGCTTTACGTAACTATTGAGCCTTGAGATGACAAATCTAGTGTTTGGAGTGATGGATCTGTGTTAAATCGTCTGAATGAGCATTGGGTCTGAATGAACTCGTCGAGTCGATGAGCCGACTCAACGAGCTGATTAGGGTTTGTCCCGAGGGGCTGAGTCATGCGATCACTCGACGAGTTGGAGTCAACTCGACGAGCTGAGTCAACCTTCACGAGACTTTTGAGTAAAACGAGGGGACTCGATGAGTCGTAAGAGTGCACTCGACGAGTCGGGTCAGACATGGACTGTTGACTCGAGTTTCGACTTCTGTTGACTTTGGGGTTTTCGTCACATGAGTAATAGAGACCATGGAGGGGTAAAATGGTCTTTTATCCAATTCAAATAGTTATAAAGAGAAAGAATAGTCTTAGGTTGTTTTAGTTGTGAAAAGAGTATTAATTAGAGACATTATTCCCTTGTGTTAGGCGGAGGCTAGTTTGAGATTCAAGTGCGAGGATATTTACTTGCTGCTTGTCAGGTGAGTCTACTCACTATACCTTACCTAGAGTGGTAATTATGTGTGACCAGAGGGTCTTATGTGCTTGCTTGAGTTATGCATTTTTTGTGTGAAATGTGTTGTTTTATGTGATATTTAGACCGGACCAGAGGGTCTAATGAACTATGAGACCAGAGGGTTCTCAACCAGATCGGACCAGAGGGTCCAACGAACCATGGGACTGGAGGGTCCTGACCAGATCGAACCGGAGGGTCCAACGAGTTATGGGACTGGAGGGTCCCACTGAGACACATTGACCGAAGGGTCTTACAGAGCTATAGCCTCGAATGACTAGTTATTTGTGCGTGGTATTTTGGGAAACTCACTAAACTTCGTGCTTACCGTGTTATGTGTTATGTGTTTCAGGTTCTAATCAGGATCACAGGAAGGCGCCGACTTGATTGTACACACAAGAGAAAAGAGCTATGTTTGAGGATCCTGGATTTGTGATGAACAACCTTTAAATGTGCTAATAATTTGATACTTGTGATTTTTGAAATGTGACACGTATTTTATTGTGTTTTAAAAATGAAAAAAATTGCTTGAAAATTTGTGGTGTTACAAGGAAAAAATAAGAAATATTTATGGAAAAATTTGTAAATTTATTTATGGAGGTTATATAATGTCCATAAGGTGCGAAAATTATCAAAAATGGCTTTCAACATTCATAACTGTATTTTACTATTTATTTGTTCTCAACAATAACAAAATCTAAACAAATAGAAAATGACCATAAAAATTCATGCAACTTCATAAACGGTCTTTAATGAATGTATAGGTCATCCCATAATTTTTCCAGAATTTATTAATCTTCAAGTATTTTATGTGAATTATTGCTCTATTTTCTTGCAAAAATTACAATAATCCGAGAAAAATGAATTATTTTCTGAAATTTTTTGGATCATCTTATGTTGTTACTGGGATTTTGGGAAAAATCTGATTTGATCAGAAAATAAGTTTTAGATATTTATTTGTGAACAAATCTTTTATAAACATTTTTAAAAATGTACTTTGATAATCAAGCCTTTAACCTTGATGTTCATCACATGCATTATGATTTCAAGACCATGGATGAACTTGTTTTGGTCAAAATGATTTTTCTAAACAAAAAACTTGAATGCATGTGGTTTTTGATCTTTAAAACTTGTAAAAACTCAAGTTTATGGGTTTGATTTAGGTTTTGGTCATTTGATTTCACCTTCTAACAACATACATGTTGTTTTTGGGTGAAATCCTACCACCATAATCATCAAATTCGACATACATGAACACACATATGAATGTTCATAAAGAAGGTTGTAGAAGAGGGGGAAAACGCAAGAAAACTTGAAATTTTTAAAAGAAAAGTGAAGAAAATGTAAGGAAATTGATTTTACCTTGAAGATGAACTTCAAATGACGAAGATTCTTAAGTAAAATGAGGGATATTTGCTGGAAATTTCATGGATTTTGGAGCTAATTCATAGAGGAAAAGAATAAGGGGGTTTAGAGAGAAGAAAAGAGAGAAAAGAGAGATTATGTCTCTCTAGATACCCAATCTCTCTCGTCATCTCTTTGGGGTTTATCTCTACCAAAATTGGTTAGCAAAATATAGAGATGTCTTTAAGCTCATGAATAATCGAATGACAAAATCTCTCTTGGTGATTTTGCTCCTAGGTTTGGATTTTTCTAGAGAAAAGGAAGAGAGATATTTTAGAGAGAGAAGTATAAAGAGGAAAAGAGTGGTTTTAGGTTAAATGATTTAAATTGGGAAAATAGATGGTGGGAGGGAATGATGGCCAAAATTATGAGGTTAAATGTTAATGACTTAATTTTTATTTTCCTTGATTATATTTTCCTGAAATTAATTATTTTAAATTGATATTAGAAGATTCATAACAAATTATATGGAGTTTTAGGTGTTAACGTTTATAAATTTGAGTTTTATGACTTTTAGGGTTTTATGGTTTAATAAATCTTTGGACATCAAAATAATTTGAATTTTTGAGACTTGAAATTACTTTATAGTCTTTTAATTATTTTACAGTTATTAATAATGCTCACCACTTGTTTTTGTCGTTTTATTGGCATTTCTATATAGTGATTATGATATTCAAGTGAAATTGAAGAATAGTTTTCAACTTTGATTTAAGTTCCTATAAAACCCTGACCTAATTTCTACTGCTAGGTCAAGTGTATAATATATCTACATGCATGTAGAAAGATGCTTAAGTCAATGAATGATCCAAATTTGATAGTCACTACAGTTAAAGTAGTTGGAGAATTCACATACCAAAAGACATTCAACCTATCAATATCAGAAGTTGATAGATATATATGTTTTTCAGAAAAAGAATAATGATTCAAGTCCCATTTAAGACAAAAATATATAAATTTATGAGTAGAATAACATGTGAACTATGAGTGTGTAAAACATCTTAAAAAACAAAAAAAACCTTTGCAACGATAATTTTATGTAGGGGTATATTTTGCAAGTTCATGTAAACTACAAGGGCTTATCTTTGATCAAAATAAATCCAGACCCGCACGGCTTACGGAGTGCAGTCATCAATCAAATTCAACGAAATCAAGCAAACAGTGACGCTGCTTCATTAGGGTTTTATCAAATTCTACACTCAGCTCCAGAAGTTTACCAGAAATGGCCGATGAAGCAAACAAAACCGTAGTTTTCTCCTTCATTTATTGAAAATTGATTTAGGCATACATACATGAATTGTTTTGAATGTTCCCTCACTAATCGCGGAATACGATTTGTGTTATTAGGCTTTTGTGGAGATTCAAGGTCGCATGATTGAGACCACTGCTAAGTTGAAACAGGTAGCTTTTTCTTGTTCTTTTTCACACATGGTTACTCGTTGCATAGTATGCAAGTTAGTTACCTTTCTTAGAAGTTGAAAGCCATGTATTTTTCGAATCTGGGAAAACCCTTTTGATCTCTAAAGCACTAAATCAAAGCGTAGCACTCTATTCTTCTTGAAACGAAGGGTTTATATATTTTCCTTCTGTTTTTTGTGCTGCTTTGTTCTTCAATTGTGTGCTTTTTTGCTTCTGATCGACATTTACACGGGAGAGAAAGGGAGCAGACACTCAAATTCTACCACAAACGAGAAAAAGCTCAATTACATCAATTTCTTCATAATTGTCCACTGGAAGATTTTGATAACCCAACCACTATTTTACTGAGAGACAATGATCTAAAGATTTTGATTACCCATCTGCAATCATCATCATAAATATCTCAAAACTAGAGTTTTTTTCATTGTAAATTTGTAATCATGACTCGGTTGTGAGAAGCAAATGTGAGAACGCAGCAGAGAAAGAGAGTCCTACAAAATATATAATATTGTTTATGGGATATTATTTTCATTAAAAAAAACCAGAGTGTATCTGTTCATTTTCTCCTTCACCTTTTTCCCCATTTCTAACATTTACCATTAGCAATGAGAAGCTTATGAATCCTATATAGATTCTCAAACTAATACCATAATAAAGAAAAAAGACAACCTTAGGATTATATATGTCCATTTGTTTATGTGATTCTATATCATTTGGTTGATATAAAGCAAGTTTTGATTTCATGTCTATAATAATTGTATGTCTTTCAGGTTCAAAATCAGATGCGAAACAAGGAAAGTGAAAAGAAACGTGCTTATCTAACCTTAGAGGAACTGCAACAATTGTCAGATGACACAAACACTTACAAATCTATAGGTATCAAATTTTTACTACATACAGTTTTTCTTTTTGTATCAAGTAAAAAAGAAACATCCATTTGTGTTATTCATCCATTTTTAATTTTTATTTTGCAGGGAGAACGTGAGTACTGGATACCCTTTATACCCCTACTATTATACCCTTCTCCATTCATAAATACCTGAGTACAATAATTTTGCATTTCCCCAAAGCTGAAGCAAATGAATTCTTATGATTTATGATTATTCTGAAACACTAATTTTCATCTTTTTATCAGTTTATAGCTGTTTAAAATCCACTTAACCAATTTGATTTTTCTATCTCAAATGACTACCTCATGAAACAGTTTTAAAGTATAATGTTCTAATTAGAAAAAATACACAAATAATTGAAATTATGTTACTGTTTCTTGCATTTATTCGTTTACAAAAAACATCCAAAATCGTCATACAATACCTGTTCATATTAATTTGGATATTTTCATGCCTTGAATAGTAAAAAGATTCTTCTTTATTGTTATTTCTCACTGCTATATTATATATAATTTTTGTATATGATAAACAGGTTTGTCTTAGAGCCAAAACCATTTTTAATGGATGAACAAGAAAAGAAGCTCAAGGATAGTGAAACTGCAATTGCATCCTTACAGGTTTGCTCCTTTTTATCTATTGAAATTAGAAAAATATATATAAAAAAGAAACAATCGTGTACAACTTTATTAGATTAAGGGGCTGTTTTTTTCTCATTAAGTTCTGTATGGATAATGATGTTTTTCGGATGAAGTGCTGTACACATAAGGTGACAAATGAGACTAAATTACCATTTTACCCTTACATTTCAATTTTTATCACAATATTTAACAGTTGTAATGTGAGAGTTGGGAGGCAAAAGTAAGTAAGAAGGGCAAATATGTAAAGGGTTAGTGCCTTAATGCATTAAGGGGTTGTTTCTTCTTGACTTAATCTAGACAGAATGACTTAATGTGTTAAGCCAAAAAAAAGGTTTAATGTACACCAGCCATTTACTTATTTGCCCTTCTTTTGTTTCTTCCAGCTCATGTTCAAATCGATGAATCTTTGCTAAAATTGATGAGTATTGTGAAAATTGTTGTTATTTTGTTGAATATTCTTTCATATGAACAGACTTCAAAGGAGTACCTTGAGAAACAGTTGGGAGAGGTGGAGACAAACTTAAGGGAGCTTCTGCAACAAGATCCAGGTCTTGCTCGTCAGATAATGTCCATGGCTGTTGTCTAACCATTTCTTAAAATCATCCACAAGAATCCATGATTATGAAATCCAAATGGTGTAGTGGAGTATGTATGTGATCTTTATGAAGAGTATTTATGTTGCATATTTTTGTAAGCCACCAAGAACAAAAATCATATCCAACATGCATCAACCACATAGAATTTTTGTAATGGGATATCTACTTTTAAATTTGTCTTTGGTTTACTCAATGTAAACAATTATAGACTACAAGGCAAGCGTAATTGGTTTTGGAGCGATCGGTAGCTATATGGTATGTTTGGTAAAATTAGCTGGTAGTTGAAAAGTATAACTTTTATTTGTGTAGAAGCTTTCGACAAAAGTATCTAACAATTTGGATTTACGTACTTGGTGACAAGGTACTTGTTAGTATCTTCCTAATGTGTCTTGTATTTGAGTTCTAAAGCTTTGTATTTGGATTTTAAAGCTTTCTAGAGTATCTATAACTAGACTCTTTGTACTTGATATGAACAAGACATAAGTTCTTAGACTTTTTGTGCAAAGACTTAGATTTTTCTAGTTGGCTTTTGGATTTGGAGCCTTTCCCGCTTTGAGGATAAGATTAGCTTCCAGAACATACACAATGAGCAAGCAAACAATTTGACTTTATCATCCGAACAAGTGAAGTTTTGACCCACGAAGCCACCTAGTTTGACAAATTCTTGGTTCATCAGTCGAAAGTTTGTAGAAGAAATTTTAGTACCTACTTAAGCCATTTGTTTGATAAAATTGTCACTATAAAAACCTTAAAGATTGCTGTAAATCAGACTAGATAGACACAAGAAAACCGAAAAATAATATTAAGAATTATATGTCGATTAGTTGCGTACTGCTTATTATTAGTTAAGTTACGTTCAAAAACCAAATTGATCATTCGCGATTTATGAAAAATGTAGAAGGAAGATTGTTCCATTGTTACACAAAATTAAGAGACTAAACAATAAAATTAAAAACGAACCTCATTGTTGTTGATCTCGACCGGTGTAAGACTTTCGTAAGAAACTCATGTCTTTATAAGTTTTTACACCGCTCTAAGACCATAACCTTCAACATAAAACTCATGATTTGATGCAAAATATCTTTCATTCCGATATCTATGGAAAAAGTGATAAACGCAAAACGATTACTTGAAAAACAAGAAGAAAGTTGGAAATCATAGAGATAGAAAGAAGATCGGAAGGTTTTAAGATGTGAAATAAATGAGACCTAAGAGGTCCTATTATATCTATATTGAAAATGAAAGTTGGTGGCCTGACTTTCCTTTTCACTATTTAATACTTGCACCTTTTATTTTTTATATCATTTACTTTTCAAAATTACATTTTTAACCCCTTCAACTTTGAAATTTTTTTTAAATTATCACTTTCATCTCATTATCACTTTCACCCCTCTGCTTTGAAAGAATTCCTCCCCTGTACAACATATAATCTAATTTTATATCTACCATCTTTATCTATGTTTTGACATAAAAGTTTTACGTTTTTGTGCTTATTTGCATTTTTCTTGGTATGAATGTGGTCCCTGACTTTTATGCATTGGCAACTTAAGTTCTACTAAGTTTTTATGCATGACTTTGGCCCCTGATTTTTATGGTTTGACACTTAAGTCTTCTTAAACTTATATTGCTACTGAAATAGTTTTGATATTTAAATCCATTACTGTTGCCGCAACGTGACGAGTAAAATCCTAATTTATACTAAATACAAAAACCTGAATCCTCTAAAAAGCTATTTGATGACGACGCTCAACCACTCATATGTTGCCACGTGGCAATTCAAGTTCCGAATCCAATGGCGTCGTTATCTACCATCTCATCTGGTTCAAAATGAAGTTTAACCCATCTTTGTGGAGGCTTTTGGTGTAACGCTTAGTTCCGGTATGAATTTATTTCTTCAAATTGTTGATTTTTCTTGTCAAACTCGACGAGTTGAAGGCTTCAACTCAACGTGTTGAGTGGATTTTGGTGTCACAACTAGCATTTTAGCTAGGAAATTTTATTCTCATATAAACATCATCCATTGTAAAAGCCTATACTCTATTCTCATTCAAATACATCTCATATGTTCAAATAAGGGTTGGAAACCCTAGAAAGCCCGATTCAAGTCTAATGTGTTCTAGGATTCTCTTGTTGGGCCTAATGGACCAATAAGTATCCAAGTTAACTACTTTGGGCCTAAAAACCCTAATTATGTTCTAATTGGACCCAATTCATAAATCTATAACTTTTTGGGCCATGATGGGCCATAAAGGATTTAATTAGCCCTAATGGGCCCTACACTTAATGGACCCAAGCTACTCCACCCCTTTTTCTTCTTGGCCCAAGAGTCACGACCCATCTATAAAAAAAAAGAAGGAAAAGCTTAAGGAGGATAATTGAGAGTTAGACACCGCAACATGGTTTAATGGATAATTGAACATTGTTCAACATATAACAATGCCTAGTCTCATGTTTCCATGCAAACTTTCCTTTCCTCCCCTTTTTCTTCTTCTTGGCCGAGACCACACACCCACACCACCCATATTATCTCAAAAATATTCTTCAAAACATTCAAGGATACTCTCTTCTTTTCATCCAAAAATTTCGAGAATTAGAAGCATTCCAAGGAATTTTTCATCCAAAAATCACTTCAAGTTTCATTCTAGAAGTAAGATCTCACAAACCTATGTAACATATCTTCTTTCTACATTAATTCACTCCTCTTACCACCAAAATTTCGTGATTTAGCCACCAAGAACTTCTTAAGTTCGAATCCATTCAAGAAAGCTTGCTAAAGGCTAAGATCCCTCCATTTCTTCCTTAAAAATTGAAACAACAAACCCAAGGTGAGTTCATACCCCCTTGTTTTTGGTTTTTACTTGTTTTTGGGGGAGAATACAAGTTGATTTGTGTAGATCTATGTGTATATGCATGATTATATGTGATTTCCTTGAAACATTTGGTGATTATGTGTGATTTCTTCATTAATCTACAAATATGTTAAGAAACTTGAAGTGTATCACTAGGATCTTCATATGAAACATGAGAAAAGTATGTTTTATCTCAAGTATTACATGTAAACATGTAGATCTGGGATTTGTATACTTTATATAGCAAAAATAAGTGTTGTGTTCAAAGATTTATAAACTAAATTCACAAAACAGCTCTTGACAGAAACGTTTTGGTCCAATCTTGGACTGTTTTGACCATCAAAATGGAAGTATTTTTCAAAACTGTTTTACATGGATAAAGTTCAGGTTTATACCTTTAAAATGACTACTCGTACGTTTTCATACGATTTTTCTACAATTTTTGGCGAATTTTACAAAACGGCCTATCAGATTTGAAATAATTTCGGACCAGCCTGTGAAGATGAGCAATTTAACACTTGTTAGAAGCCATTAAAAATTATGAGAAAATTTGTGAAAAAAGTAGACAAAATTTATAAACTTTGAAAGTTTACAGATCCAAATTTCAACTTACGATGATTTTTCTACAAATTTTCAAACAACTAGGTCGGAAAAGCTCAAAAACCAGGAAATGTGTATTTTCACAAAAATCAAGCCATGAATGTTAATTTTGACAAAAATGGGTTTTAACATGTTATTTTTACTACAAAATAGTCATCAAAACAAGTTTTGAACAAAATGGATACTAAAGTGTTATTCTTACAAAAATTGGGCCATAAATCCTAAATTTTTGGCTTATTGGGCCAAGAACGTCATTTTTACAAAAATGAGGGCTTTTTATATCAACTTTGTAAATAATCAAGCTAAAATAAACAAAACAATAACAAACGGGTTAAAAATGATATACATATCCTTATTGGGCCTGGAAATAATAGACACGTATAGTGTGCCTTAGTGGTCCACTTACATGTTTATTGGGCCTGAGAATGAGTTGTATATGTGTTCTTCTTTTTATGCTATTTTAGTGAATACTTGAACCAAAACCAATGATAAACCAACAAATGGATTTAATTTGATCATTTTCTAAGTTATTGGGCCTTAGTGACCAAATTTCTATGTGTGATAGGTCCTGTATACTATTTACATGTTTATTGGGCCTCATTGACCCATTAACATGTGCGACGGACCTTGGATACTATTTCTGTGCTATTTGGGCCTGTAAATACTTTATATGTGAAATGGGCCTTAGTTGTCGTTTCATATATATTCCGGACCCATGTTATATAATCTCATTCCATTTGGGTCTTGAAATGATTTACATGTTTAGCGACGCCTTAGTGGTTCACTTACATGGATCATTGGTCCTAGAATGAGTTTATACATTTCTCTTCGCGTAAATTCGATTAAGGATCTAGCGAGTTTTTATCGGTTGGCACCTATTAAGTGTACGATCGTAGCCTGTAGTTATAACCAGAGTCTCCTGGAGGGAGAACGAGGATTTGTGTATAGATCTATACGGGGTTGACACCCCACACCTCAGCTGTTCGCTACAGTTAGACTTACTCAGTCTAGGGTGACGAAAACCTTATTCTATTTTTCCGTCGGCGTCCAACGGGCGCCAAGACAGGTGAAATTGTCATTATTTAGTATGGTTATGACGGCTCGCTTAGAGGAATTAACGTTATGAAGTTTACGGAAGACATCTACAATTTTTTTTAGGCAACGTCGGGTTGTCTGGGAACATTCTTTTTTTACATGCTCTTACATTCTCTCTACATTCTCTTTACATTTTTAGTCAAATAAACAATACCATACATGCATTAATACAAGATCTAACACAAACACACTAAACAGTTTTCAGAAAATATCGGATTTTCTGGTGGTTTTCAAAGTTATACAAATCATTTTCACAAACATGCTTATGAAATCACCAACATTTTTATGTTGACCGTTTTCAAAATAACTTGTATTCTCAGGATACCGTTGAAGCAGGATGAACGAAACAAACTAATAGATATTGTGTGATATTTTGTTTCATCATACTCTTACTATTTTGGCATGTAATATTCAAATACATTACTCGATGTAAACAATGAATGTTGTAATATTACATGTGTGATGATGATGATGTTATGTTTCAATTATATTCACTGTAATGATATTTCAAGATGAAGTCACGCGCAAGCCCCTGGACGTTTCCACCGTCTGGTTCGAGGGTGTGACAGATTGGTATCAGAGCATTGTTTATAGTGAACTAGCATATCTAATCATACAGGATATGCAACTATAAATACAATGGGACTAAACAACTCTGAACATAATAATTAAAATACATACCTTTGTGTGCATTTTAGAATAATAACACAATAAGAATAGTAAAACTCTTTGGAGGATTTGAACATCGCTATTAAACTCGGGCAGTTATGTAGTCGTATTAGGGGTGAATGTAACCTGATCAACTACATTCATTCGAAATACGACCAACATGTGTTCGGGAGTAATTGTGATGGATAATGAATAAAAAACTTACCATTTAATTATCCAAAGATCTTATA